TATGGATTATGTGCACTTTGTTCTCACAACCCCCCACCCCTGCTCCACTACTCGATACGACGATGGGATCACAAAACGGTTTGTAGTGTTATGGTGGAATTAATAGGACTTATATTGCAGTCATTGTAGGAATGTACCTACCAGTTGCATAGACTTATCGCCAGAAAAGAAACCATGATATATTATAGGAATAACAAGCTAGAAGTTTAGGGTCTGCAGGCAGAGCAGCATCTGGTAGGTTGCACTATGTATCACGTAATAATACTACAGAAGTTGGTTACTACATAAATAAAAAAAACTCCCGACCGTGAAGTGAATCTCGTGTTGACATTTTTTATCAGAAGAACTATTAATATCATACAAACAGTGGACAGGTCGACTTCACCAGTTTTCATTAAAAGATCGGTTTGGAGATCTACAAATCGAAAGCATTGATCCGATACCTTATTCCGACACAATCAGCTAACTTTGAGTTGCTCACCTCCACATTCGTCTCCCATAATGTTTAAGCAGATAAACCGATACTCATCAAACATAGCTAAGCATTATCTCGACAGACAAAACTTTCAGATTAAAAAACCTCACTCACCTCTATTAACCCGTTGGGAATAATTATCCCATAGACAGAGGGATACCTGATTGTGTCGGAAATTAAAATACATGTAGACAACCTGTTCCCAAGCGCTGCGGCAATAAACTGCACCAAAGAGGCTAGTGCTAGTTGATACTTTTTCAAGTAGAGGTCTTAAATAGTTAATATTCTATTAGACCAAAAAACTTAGTACTAGTTTTTCTCCTAACTTAAAGGCCATGAAACTTTAGTTTGAAGATATATTTCTTTTAGTCAGGCGAAAACGCTGTCCGCCATGTTTGGCCTATATGAATGTTGTCTGACGTCATACCATTTGTAAACAGCATCTGACAGCAGCATAACCTCTCAAACTTTTGAGCATACACATATAAACATGACGTCTACTAGGTAACATAGAAATTATAGTAATTATCGTTATTGTATCCCCCAAGAATATAAGAACACATGGATAAAGACCCCATGAAAGTTGTGGATTAGAGTGCCCAGGGAAATAAGTATACGCAACACTGTGTATTGCTTGGAACATACCTTACGTTCAGGACATATTTTACATTTTACTGTTCAGAGTTTATGGTCTTGTTCAAGTGGGACGTAACCTAAACCAGCATCACCCCACGATTCCTTTGCCAAATGTGTAACAAGAAATACAATATTAGATAAAATTATCCCATGGCAGTGACGCATGAGCTCTGTATTGAAGGGCACCTCTCTCGTAATATGGGAAATATTGAAAACTTGTGAGAAGTCCGGCAACGCCATTCCTAGTCGATTACTTGTGAATTTAGTCCAGGATGATTGAAGAGACAGTCTCCGTTAGCCAACATTAAGAAAATAAAGAAAGATTTCAGTGTCAATATCAGAAATTTCGGTCATCAATTTCACGATTAATAAGTTGTATATTTTCGGATTCAATTTAATCGCTTGGTATCGAAAGCACTAGACTTTTTGCATATCTTTAGAGTCACTTTTTCAAGACCATATTGTACACCCAGTGCGTTGTATATTCCTCGTTTGGAATACTATATATATTTTTGCCTCTGACACTGAATTAAGTCTATAAAAATGTAAATCTTATTCATATTGTACTCGCATTTGAATAGATATATTTTCTTATTACAGCATAAAGAGACCTTAAGAGTTTATATATTAACACTCTCCGTTATTAAATAATTGACCGTAGCTACCAAGCCCTGGCTACTGTGAATAATGAAATTCAGATGAAAAATTTACGATACATAGAGTGCTTAATTAACGTTTCATTAAAAAGGCAATATGAAGAAAGAATTTACCAAATAATTCATTATACATTATTATGTGAATAGGAACTAAGACTCTTGAATAGTTAATTTCAACTTAAAACATTAATTAAAAATACGACGTTTCTACGAGGTCTGTAAATTAAATGATGAGACTGATTTTTTAATTTTTTATTCAAATAAAATTACAATTTTATATTGTCATCCTCAAAATAACTTCCTTCTGAAGCCATACAGCTCTGGAGACGGTTCTTCCACTCCTCATAGCAGTGCTGGAGCTCCGATACTAGAATAGCCTTCAGCTAGTCGGTTACAGCCGTTTGAATGGTTTCGACTACCTCAAAATGAATTTACTTCGGAAAGATAAAAAAGTCACAAGGACCTAAGTCAGGCGAATAACGAGGCTGAGGAGCCATAGAAATGTTTTACTGACCAAAAACTCGTTATTGACATTACTGTGTGATAAGGAGCCTTATCGTAATGCAACACCCAGTTGTTCTTGATCTGATGAACGGTGGTGTAAGTCAAATTTAACTCTTACCCGATCATTCTGACGGTCAACCGACGATCTGAATACATAAGATCCCGGATTCTGTTAATATTTTGATCGGTTCTTGATAGATGAAGGCCTTCCGCCTCGTGGTTCATATTTAATACTCTCTCCCTCCTGAAAATGCATAAAATCACCGCAAAATCTGGGCTCTTGACAAAACACATCTCCGAAGTTTAGCAAGAGTTTCAGTTGCACTGTAATCAATTCTGAATCAAAAAAAAAATCTTAGCACACCATTGCTCGAAATTGATGCCATTCATTTATAGAATACAATGGAAAAAAATCGCTAACGACAACCAAATGGCTCGAACGAGTTCAAACTTGTACTGAAGGCGGATCACATGTTCCCATGTCTCCCCTCTAAGCTCAGTACCTCGAGTGTTGCCAGTCTGGTCACTTAATTTACAAACCTCGTATAATAGTTGACCCGCACTCAAACGACCAACATCCATCTGCGCAAAGGTACCTATTTTTACTAACTATTTACACATTTTCTCATAAGGAATTGGTAGGAATGTACATCTCGCTTACAAGTGTGCATACTGAAGTATGCGAATACAAGAATTGATATAAGCTGCTTTTTTCCCCACACACAATTAATTCTTCTTCTCCAGTTTACGTTTATTACGTATCAACGTTTGATATAGTTTAATTGTTAATACGTGGATAAACTTATCTTCATTGTTGCTATTGTTATTAAGCCCTTACCAATATTATTTCTGAATTTGAAACTTGTTTATCCATCGCTGTTGCTAGATGGCTCGTAGCATAATCCGCTTTACCGCTTCGCTGCTTTGTAATCCGATATCGCGACAAAACATAAGGAGCCCCCGACTCTGCCTCTAATCTACTGAATATTTACATCGACGACGGCTTGCTGACTTAATAGCTCAAGAAGGCTCCAGATCAAGACGGATAAATAGCTATATTCAAGGACTTTGATGACGCTTAGTAAATTTATATAACATCTCGACAATTACTTGCTGGAATACCAAAACCACAATATTTGCTAAATAGGTGACATTGAACGTCTATTAATTTAAGCTGGATTACACAATTAAATTATTAGGTTCGCGTGGGAAGTAAAGGACCCCGCACAAAGTATATGGAAAACGGATCCAAGTCATTTTGTCTAAAAATTGAGAATCACTTTTCTGAACAAAAATTTGCATGGCGACAAAACAATCCTATGATTTCTTTCTGGAAATATGAAGAGGAAGCTTGTCCGATTTGCAAAACTGATGCATGTGTCAGTTGTAGTCCCTCAGAAAAATACCAAGAGAATTGTTATACTGAAGTGAGTAGTTCATTTAAAAACCGTTGAGGAAGGCGTTATTAGATGCCATCTTGATCTTGGCCATGATCCTTGCAAGGTTTTAACATGTGAGCTTTCGTTGGATTAGTCTTAGCCATACTAGTGGCAGTGACTATATCAAAACTTTATAAAAGCAGAATGGCAAATTTTAAGTTCAATCATGAAATCACTATTATACGGGCTAGACAGTGTGAGTAACACTTGGTATACTGAAATTTCATAAAATCAAAAGGATGTATTTTCATTTATTATTTTAAATTTGAAATTCGTATTCTACGGGTCACAGCTTAAACTTAAGCGGCTTGATGGATTTTGACATAAGAAGTGTCTCTAGATTTCTCTTGATAGCACCATTATATTTGCATTCTCTCCAGTTACTTCAGTCTGGTTGTATATATTTTTTAGAATGTTTAAGGTTGAGGCATATAACCACCGTATTGCTGAGACAAAAAATTATGCTCCGTTTTAATAATATTTGTTTTATCCTGGTGATATTTGTTCTTCTTAGGAATATCACGATATTTTGACGGGACAAAGACTGGAAATTTATAATGAGAAGATGAAATGAGAATGTCAACAGCATTTCTAGCCCACAACTTCAACACCCAATTGAAATCTGTGCTCATATCAATATCAAAAGGAATAAAAGATACCGACATTACACTCACCCAAAAACACATGTCTTTTTGCATTGTCACTTCAAATATTTACTTTTTACCACTGTTTAGCACGCCTGAATGTTGCACTCGACAATAGCAAAAGAAGTTTCTGTAAGAAGAACAACGGATATAATACTGTATACAGTGTCTTAGGTCCCAGAAGAGGAGGACAATGTTTCATAGTAGGAATAAATTCAACCTATACTTTCAGCTCTGCTTTTGGTAACACGATGGAATGAATCAAGGCACTTTGTTTTGAATTTGAGCAACCAAAGAGTTGACAGGCTTTCACTGACAATTTGATATTGTATTAGTACAACTTCAACAATAATTTAAGCGGGATCCTCAACATAGTTTCAATCGCAGTTGATAATGGGTAAGACAGAGGAACCAAAATTTGTATCGATGCTTCAAGACATGACACACAGTTTTTTAATTTAGTTTGATACTGAACTTATGAACGTACAGGTTTTCATGAAACGTCTTCTTGAGCGTCCAACTATGGATTCTGGATCACACACTGTGTACAGTAGCTGCCTCTATGAGCATGTTTGCATAAACTCAATTTCTTGTACAAATGTTGTGAAAAATACAGCTTTTTCCTACTCATGTTCTTTTGTTACAGAATCATTGACTGTGAACGTGAGCGTACTGTTACTCAGCCTCGCATCACCTGACGAATCCAGTCTGGTAAGTAGGTATCACAATTACTATACATGCACGTTGAAGATTCAACTTATATGTATTCAAAGGGGTTGTAAGATTAAGTTAGAGAAGTCAGAAAAAAATTAACTATCAATTAAGAAAGGTTTCCTACCGCAGCCTCGCACAAACTTTGAAGTTTTCAAAATACCTTAACGCCATATTATTACCTAATTATGGATATATGAATTTCGGATGAACGCATCCGCAACAGCGAGTGTGTTTCACAATCAACTTGAAAGAAGGGAAAAGTGGGCGCGGCGGCGGCGTTCAAGTGAATGAATGAATGAATCTTGAAATTAGAGGCATTCCGGCCACCATAAGGAGCCAGTGCATTGGCCGCTTAAGCGGGCCCTTATGCACCTTTACAATCCTTAGATCACAAGCCTCGCCCTTTTAGCGAAGTTGAGAATCGCCTTGAGTCCAAGCTCCTTGACGTCCTGAAGGTCCAAAGTAATGGACCCCAGTATAGTCTGCCTATAGTAGCTCAGAGCTTCACAGCGACACAAAACGTGTGCCGAGGTCTCTTCCTCTACCCCGCAGCGTTCACACAAGGGATCCTCAGCCCATTACGTGCAGGTGGCGCCTTAACGTGTTATGGCCAGACAACAGCCCACCAGCAATCTTAGGTTGGCTCTATCCAGAGATAGGCAGAAACGTCCATCCTTAGCATTGGGCCCTTCAATGAGTTCCCGTGCCTGGCGGAGATGTCTGCAGATACTTCTCCATTTCTGAGAGTGTTGTCTTGCAACCCACGTCTCCATTTTCCTCCTAGTTTTATACGCGGTCACTCCTAGAGCTGACTCAGGACCAACGGGCTTGCTGGGTGATCCTGTCTTCGCCAAAGTGTCCGCTGTCTAATTGCCCCTTATCCCAGCGTGCCCACATTAACGATACGGGATGCCTCGCTGCGAGGCAATCCAGAGCCTCCCTGCATTGCAATACAAGACTCGAGGTAATCTTACCGGCACTTATTGCTTTCATTGCAGCCTGGCTGTCGGATAAGATTGTTATTCTTCTCCTAGGCACACAATCCTCCAGAATGTGAGATACACAAGCCAGAATCGCAAAGATTTCCGCCTGGAAAATAGTGGTGTATCGACCGAGAGACAGAGATAGCCTAGTTCTAGGCCCGGAGTCCTAAGCACCTGAGCCCTCTTCGGTGACCGAGCCGCCCGTGTACCAGGCCTACCCGCTCACTCCGGGGAGTCCCCGGCTACCGGCGTCCCACTCCTCCCTCGTTGGATACTCCACAATAAGCTTGCGGTTGAAGCGATACTTAGGGGTAATACGATCACCCCAGCTTAGAAGGACAGGGTCCTCCCTTTGCAAATCGACAAAGATGGCAGTATGAACCTTGACAGGATTCAAGAAAGCTCAACTGCCCTGACTCCACAGTCGATGAGTGACTACTCTCGCTTCACCGCGGATCACCAGATCCAACGGTGGGAGATCCAACAGAGCTTCCATTGCACTTAATGGCATTGTTCGCACTGCGCTTTTAATACTAATACAGGCCAAACGCTGAATTTTATTGAGTTTGGCCTTAGTTGTCTCAGTTCTATTGCAAGGCCACCAGACCAGGGAGCCGTACAAGAGAGATGGACGTACTATCGTCGTGTAGAGCCAGTATACCACTTTGGGTTTAAGCCCCCACCTTACACCGACAACACGTTTACAGGCCCACATCGAATTGCGAGCCTTGCTAACCTTGTATTCAACATGCTCTCTCCAGTTCAGTTTGCAATCCAGGATAATTCCCAGATATTTCACTGACTGGGACAAAATTAATCTAGTCCCAAAGAAGGTCGGCATGACCAGCCCGTCAAGCGTTCTTCTCCTAGTGAATAGGATCAGCTCGGTCTTATCAGCATTAACAGAACGATCGACTTCCCTACACCACGATTCCACAGAGCGCAGAGCGCCGTGCAAATTCGGCGGCGGCGGCGGCGTTCAAGTGATTGATCTCCAGTCGCTTTCTAGTTGCACCACTCCGACTCGTGGGCACACACCACCGTGCTAGGACAGTAACCTCTAACCAGTAAAATCATATACACGCGTTCTACGCTTATTTGCAACACCTAAGTTAATATTAGTTGCCAATTTATAAACTGAAGTGTGAGGAAAAATTAACAACTCAAAATTAGAGTATCGCAGTGTTTTTACAAGAATATCTGCTGAAAACATTTTTTGAGAGAACGGTCGACGTCTATGGGGATGATGTACCATCATATTGAACAATAAAATTTTGGTCCAAACAGTTTCAATGTGGGCATGGATCCATAGAAAACGATGCCCAAAACAGCAACAAATGATTAAATGAGTCAAAAAGTTGAAGTCATGGCTCTCCAAGATCGTCATGTGAAGGTCTCTACCATTATCAATATCTACCAATAACAATCTTGAACGATAATTTGAACATGGTAGGTTCCAGCACTATTGACATTTGAACAAATATTGCGTAGGTTGGGAATTTCAGTAAATCAGTTGAAAACTTTGACCAACGATTCGACTTTTTGGCACAAAACAAAAAACAAGATGAAGGAGCGGATTTACAAAGCGTCTCCAAGCCTCTGATGTAAAATTGTTTGCAACATACATGCGAACTCGCTGGAAAGCTTACGTAAAGCAATCATGCAGAAAAGACCCGATAGAGAAGTGTTCCTTCTACGACCCCCTTCCCACTTCAGCTGGCCCAACTATTGAAATCTTAGTTTTTTTCTTATCAAACACAAATAATAAAAATGTAGCTATAGGTTTAAAATACTAACAATGAATATTTATATAATATATAGTAGAAAACACCAACTTTATCACTAATCAAATTTGCAGCATAAAAATAACACATGTTGCAATTACAGCATATCAACCTATTTTCATTTCAATGCAAAATAAGTCTATAATGCATAGGTGGCTGTGAGAATTAAAAGCCATGACATTGCAACTTTGTTCGACTTATCGCGGTACAGTGTGAGAAATATTGTTAGAAGATATAACGTTACTGTTTCAGTTAATATTAAGCTACGATATGTGAAAAAAACTAATATCACAAATGCCGACCGAAGAGCATTAAGAAGAATCATCGTGAAAAACAGGCGTACCAATTATTTACAATTAAGTGCTCTGTAGAGTGACGCTGTTGGAAGGAGAATTTCGAGGTCCACAACTCATAGAGAGGCCCACAAACTGGGATTTAGCAATTGCAAGGTAAGTTTTCTTATAAAAAAAAAACTGAAGTAAAAACCCTAAAGTTGCAAAACTTGTTTATAGGCCAAAGAAAAGCCACTAATAACTCCACTGCAAAAGAAAATTCGGCTTTGATGGGCTAAAGAACATAGACAATGGACACCTCAACAATGGTGTGCAATACAATCTAGTGATAAGGCCCGATTCGAAGTTTGTGTTGGTGACAGTCACAGTAGAGTTATTCGCAAAAAAAATTAAGCATTCCATGTTGACTGTCTGAAGAGAAAAGTGAAATTTCCAGCGTCCATTATGGTCTGGGGCAGTATGTCAAAAGGAGTATGAAAACTTCAATTTATTGATGGCAATGTGGATACAAACTAATATTTGGCAATTTTTGGAAGAATCGCTTTTACCAGTGATGGAAGAATGTTTGACATCCGGCCAAGATTTTGTCTTTCAGCAAGATGGTGACTCAAAAAAGGCTATAAAATGGATGGAAGAAAATACTATACCACTTTTGAAATGGGTTTCTAGCAGTCCAGATCTGTCACCTATTAAAACTTGTGGTACGAGGTGAAAAAGGTTCTACGACAACATCCCGCTCGTACAATCACCGAACTGAGACAAAAGCTTCAAGAAATATGGGATTGTTTTACCCCACAGTTTTGCCAAAACTTGATTAACACTATGTCCCAAAAAATTTCAGCCGTAATAAAAAATAAACGTGATGTTACCCAATGGTAATCTTTCAATTGTTGCTTTGTTAACTTCCGCGCATTTATTCGCACATTGTTTATTTGTTCAGATGTTCTATTAGTTATAGGTCTAAGTGATTTCAAACATATATTTTTTACGACTAGAGTGTATCTAAAATGTTTTTGAGAAAATAAATTGTTTTAAATGTAAATAGTTTCGTCATATAAAGGCATATTTTGGTAAAAATCTTTAAGTGGGCCAACTCAAGTGGGAAGGGGCTCGTACATGACAAAGCGATTGTGCAGATGACTGCCAAAATTGGTTGTGCATAAATACAGTTTTGATCATTGCGATGGACGATCGTCCCTATATCCGGAGATGGCTCGGTCTGACTTTTATCTCTTTAGATTACTAAAGAAGAATCTTCCAGGATGTCGTTTTGACTCAGATGAGGGTCTTAAACCAGACATCGATTTTTTAAGAGTCAGGGGGAAACATTATTTTATACTGGAGGAGAACCGGCGCAAGTGCATGGATGGAGGAGGTTAAATTGGAAAATAAAATCATCAAAAAAATAGTACGTTCCTTCATAGTTGGACAGATTTCTTTTCTAATACCCCTCGTAGTTACGCTAACATGAGGTTAGTCGGAAACCGTGTGCTGGAAATTTTGCTGTAAAAATCACGGTATCAGGTAATCAAGTTAGTAGGCGGGAACACCAGCGAACACTGGTTATCACGGGAACTGGAACGGGAACTGCTGATTGAACAAATCCACACACATCCAAAAAATACGATTTACTTTTATTAGTCAGAGGGTGGCGACTAACAAAGAGTGAACGATCGATGCTGGAACGAAAATAGAATGCGAAATTGATTTGAGAGATGTCATGCACAAACTAGAGTTAGGGTGTTCCATACCGAAAAACCATGTTACCTATTTCCTTTGGTCTGTCTATCTTTCTGTCGTTCTATCGGCCTGTTCATGAATCATTAGGCGTCATACAACTTGAAAGTACTGCTCCCATTTTGATGGACTTTTGACCCAAGTTACTACTCTGCCAAAGACGAAAAGGATTATTGGTAAATGACGTTCGCATTCCTACGAGAATGATGGCCGCCTTACTTGGGCTCTTCTGATTCATTAAATGCGGGTAACCACTCCGCATGTTCTTGACTCTTGTCTTTTATATTTTTTTATGTGACTTGACACTATTTGCCACCCTTTTCCAGCCTTTCCTATTCTTACAATGTTCTCTCCAGTTTCTAATTCCACGGGTTTCTATGTCTGTACATACTTGGTCTGCTAATCTTACTTGTTTACTTAAAATATATTTTCAATTCAGCACTACAGTTTTTTCTTCATTTCTCAGTGGCGTGAGCCCGTCGTTCATAGAATTTTCTGGATAAGTTTGCGTTCTAGCACTCCTCTCTCCAGTTATTTGCTTGTCAAGCGTACATATGGTCTCAGATCCATATACAATACTGGCCTTATTGCAACTTTGTACAACCTTAGTGTGGTTTGTTTACTTATATTCCTATCCTGTAGTAGTCAGCGGTACTTCCATCATGTCCCGTTACCCATAGGTATCCGTTCTGTGATTTCTGCTGACCTTTCATTATTGTCGATCATTAACACCCCTGAATATTTGAACTGAGATATTCTTTCAAATCGGTATTCTCCTATTTTGATTTCATTAATATTATTCTTGACTCCTCTGGCTACTCTGGCCATAAGATGCTAGTCTTCTCTTGATTTATTTATAAGCCTCTTTTTTCTCCTTTATTAGATATGTTACTGGACATTTTTTTGGGGTATAAATTGAGCATGGGGTTGCGGTGGGTGTTGTATACCTTAGTTTATATGATAAGTATATTTATACGCTTCCTTCGGTATCTCTAAGCACCCATTAGACATACTTCACTCATAGATTTTCCAGAATATTTGCCTTTAGGACTTAAAATGACATAAGTGTTTCCAATACTTGTGTCTAGTACAACAAAAATAAAATATAAACATGTCGTAAGCTGGCCGTTACCAAGATATCCCAAGCTATACTCATAGGTCTATTTAACTGACTTGATATATTTATTCCTTTGTTGTACATGTTCGTTGTTAACCTTTTTCTAAGAGGGACTCACCTGTGCAAACGTAATCGTTTATGAACTGGTGGCAGGGTAGCGAGGTAAGTGCAGAGTCAACTTACTTGACGCAGTTTTTTTTAATAAGGTAATGATATTCCGTGGTATGCTGGATGTTTTTCAATTGTTTTTGTTCTTAGAAATGCTATGTCGGGGCTCACATGACCAAAACTGAAAGGACGGTCATTTAGATGATTTCAAAAGTTTTATGTCCAATGATGATATTTGAAAAACTGCTTCGTGAAAAAACATAGTGCTCAGAAGGTTTAGACTTCTTATTCAAGATAACGAAGCCTATATGCAGAAAAAAAATAACAGAAAACAACAGAACAAGAAACAAAAATCGGAGAAAATTATTACCGTTCACTGTGACATGATACTAATAAATATTCTTTGAAGTGGGTTGTTTAAGTCTCCAATTGTGTCTACCGCGAGATACCTTCAAGTCGCCTGTGTCGCTAGCTGCTTGTACTAAATAATGTACACAGGATGAAAATATAAAAAGAAAACGATGTGATGCAGCTCACATTATATCGACAAGTTCGCTATTGTGTGCCTTCGTTCAAAAGAACTATGTGCTAAGAAAAGGAAAGTCCCAACTTTAAAGGGGCTAACAAAATAATCAGAAATAACATGTTTACTTCGTACGCCTCTGGGTGAGGCAGTATTGTAATTGCAACAAATTTAGAAAATGAGATATACATCGCGAAAAACCATGTCACCCATTTCTATTGGACTGTCTATCAGTCTACCCGGTAATCCTTGGCCACTCTACAACTTGAAAAGTTATGCTCGGATTTGGAGAAAACCTTTCAGGTCACTTCTACGAAAAGGAATAGGACGAAAAAGCATCGTAGTTTTGGTAAAGCGGCTCAGTGACGGTGAAAATGGCCGAAAACGAAGAAAATAATTATCGCTCAAATGTCGTTATTGACATTTTAGAGGATCCCCGTATTCTTAACAAAAAATAAGGATCTCAATTTATCGATGCTAGTTTATTTATACTCTCCTAACACCGATAACTCTACGCATCTATTAGCCATATTTCACGCATCACATTTGTCAAAAACTTTGAATTTTTGAGCACCTATAAGGTATAAATTAGTGCATTTGAGTTTAGTACTCCATCTCTTTCTAACAAAAAATGTTATTTCTCGTTCAAACTGAAGAAACCTTTCTAAAACCTTTAAAACTCATAAATATATACGAAATGGTGCAAAGAACCACCGACACATGTGTGGTTTCTGAAAAATCGGCAACAATTCCTCATTCTTTAGGCTATTTATAGCTTATAAGTGGAGCTTTTTGACCTATAAGAGCTGTCCAAAATGACTCTCTCGTAGACTGTCAAACTCTTTAAAAAAAAACATAATCTTATGCTCTTCACTATCAGTTATATATTTTCTCATAATAATTTATGTAATTTCAATAATAGTAGGTAACAATGAATTTGAGACATTGTGGCAACTGTAACCATTTGGAAACGATCATCTTTCTGAAATTGGCCTAAACTAAGAAACATAGATAAAAATGAGATTGTTCAAAATTTCTCGATGTTTTTCAGAAATACGAAGTGGAGTTTCTGTTGCAACAACAATGGTATGATCCGCGTCTGAGGTACTCTAACCAGAGCCAGTACCCCTACTTAAACGCGATCCACCACCACAGCGACATCTGGCTGCCAGACACTTATTTCATCATGCACGGAGACTTTAAGGATCCTCTGATTCCCGTTCACTTTTCTCTGAAGATATATAGGAATGGAAGTGTAACTTATCTCATGAGGTAGGTATTTTCTTTTAATTAGGCATATTTTTTTAAATCTCTTTATAGTGAAGTTTAAGCTGTCGCTCACGTAGGTAAACTGTAAGGATCGGGAATTGGAAAGCCGTACCACATAAATATGAAACCACCTCTCACCGGCTGTTTTCTCATTCAAGTCGAGTCGCAGTAATCGTATCTATCAACGCAACTGCCTGTGTGCCGCATACGTGCGGAAGCAGCTTCAACGATGAGCCGATATGTTTTATCGTTGCTGAACACTTTGGATACGAAGATACGATCATAAATTGAACACACGGATCAACAGCCAGGTCGAGACTAAAAAAGTTAAAATCAGCACTTGTATTACACATTGTGATTTAAAAAAGTACTGACAGTATTTCTGGCATGAAAAATGCATTGAGAAACCCAAGATAAGTAGCTTTGCAAAATACGACAGATTATCCTACTCTGTAATACCTTTACTGCCTTCTACAAATATTTTCCGCTCAAACTGTATTATTTTTGTATCAATAGATAATATATCATGTTGATTTGGAGAAACCTGCAGAAACTGAGGTGTGTGCAGTCTGCAATTAGTAAGTGGCAAACGGGACTTTTAGTTTTACATTGAGTAAGACTTGAACAATCGGTATTTCGAAAAGAATATTATTATGACAGAATCGCCACTTACGTAAGTTTCTTCACATAGTATATAGGATAGTGATATACAAAAACTGTCGCTAAACCTCATAAGATCATAAAATGAAGCGATCTCTTCTCTATTTGGCTCCAAATGAACACCTACCCAAAAACTTAAACAAGTTCGAAATGCACATAATTTAAGACAACATATTATTGAACTCTTCTCAAATATTCATTAATAGTTATCTTCTACTTATACACCTCTTTAATATATATTTTTCTTGTTTCTTTTAACTTTTTGCTTTGTTTTGGGAATATTACACATTCCCACATACAACTGATCCATGTTCAGGCATTGCCCTTCTCTTATTGTTCTTATATAATGGAGTAAATGAATATCTGCTATTACTACTTACATTAGTTATTGAGGATTTTCTAACGAAGTGAATAAACATTAATTGATCTAGAGCAAAATGGATTTCCTTTCCCAAGGTTTAGGGCATTGCATATTATAGGTAGCGTACCCAATATCTCATATCTTTATATAAATAATTCTACCTTAGATCTAAAACATTGCGTCGCAAATACGTTATGCAACATTCCATATCTACTTCTCCAAAATTCGTATAACTCTCTGCGCTAAAATATATATTTTATGGTTGGATATATAACTACACTAAAGGAACGGAAGCGAAAAATATGTTTGATGTTTTATATTTTATGGTCTTGTCCAATAAATCGTGTATCCTGCATATATATACAGGGTGTTCCATAATTATTGCGACAAAATGAAAGGGGTTGTAGAGGGCATCAAAATGAACAATTTTGCCTTATAAACCCCTGTTCGGAAATATGCCGTTTGGGCTGCAGCAAAAAAAAAGATCAGTTTCTTGAAACAGCTTACCTACAATAATTGCTCGAAGTGTCCTCCACCTTGCTCAATACACAGCTGTGCACGATTGTTCAATGATCGGCGAACTTTGTGGCCTCTATGTCCTGAACATGTGCGGACGCGGCCATCACTCTTCCCAGTAGCTCTTATTGGTTGGGTACAGTAGTTTCGTACACTAAAGCTTTCAGATGGCCCCAGAGAAAATAATCCAGTGGGGTCAGGTCGGGTAACCGCGCAGGCCAAGGCACAGGGCCACCTCGGCCTATCCACCTATTTGGAAATTTGTCGTCCAAATACTGCCGCACTTGTAAAGAAAAGTGGGCTGGAGCGCCATCGTGTTGAACCCACATGTTGGCTCTTATGTTCAGTGGCACATTTTTTGGTAGCACATGCTGTAAGAATCGACCATAAGCATGCCCATCCAAACGTGGTGGAAGCAAATATGGCCCGATGATATGCTCGTCCACAATGCCGCACCAGATGTTAATTGAAAACTGATGTTGGTCTCTATGGATGGCTATGGCATGAGGGTTTTCATCATCCCAAATGTGACTGTTACGGCTATTAAAATAACCGTCCTTTGTAAAACAGGACTCGTCAGTGAGCAAAACGTAGCGACCAAAGTTTGGTTGCCTCAACTCCTGCTGCAGCCACCAACGACAAAAACGTCGACGCGGCAGATAGTCTTCTGGACCCATGGCTTGGACTTTTAAAAGGTGGTATGGGTGTAGTTGCTGGTGTCATGGAGAACCCGCCAAACAGTAGTTTGAGACGCTCCCATATCATGTGCAATAGCACGCACGCTTGTACGCGGATTGGCCTCTACATGGTGCAGAATCGCTTCCTCAAATTATACTGTGCGCCTTGTGAAGGGCCGCCCTGCTCCCGCGAGGTATCTGATGCTGCCACTGACACGAAGACGTCCATGAATCCTTGCAAAAATGGCGTGATGCAGATGAGGACGTTCTGGAAACCGTTAGGCGTAGATCCGCGAGGCTCGTCTTCCGTTACCACCAACTTTTCCGTAAATTAAATGCATATCCGCAAGTTTCGCATACGAATAACGCTGCATTTTAACACTAAGGTACTGTTATTTACTATCTAGTTTGACGCACCACTCAGACAAATTAAATAAATCGGTGTGGAGAATTTACGATAACAAAAATGTAAACACAGCAGGCTTTTTTACAAACCGGCGAGACCATGAAATGTGCTAGACGAACATTTTGCAGCTGGTGAATTTTTTGTTTCTCCTATGAGCTCTTAAGGTAAAATTAGCGGTAGTGCTCAAACGGCATATTTACGAACAGGGGTTTATAAGGCAAAATTGCATATTTTTATGCCCTCTACAACCCCTATCATTTTGTCGCAATAATTATGGAACACCCTGTATACATATTTATACGTATATAGCGTCCCGTTTCCTCTGCTACATTTAAAATGGTGCATGTGCCAGCACAATCGAGTCTCGAGGAAAGGTTGCATTCACCATCTCTATGAACCCAATATTTCTTATTTTAATTCATTTGATTGAAGCTTTACTCTTTCCAATTCACCATCAAATGTTCTGGAAGCTGAAAATGAATAATCTACGATTGAGGGTTGGTTCAAGTAACTGACAGAAATATTAAGCAATAAGATCTGCAACATAGCGTTCGATCTGGCAACACCGGAGGCAACGAGATTGGTCTGGAGACAGGGGAACATATTACCCGCCTTCAGTACATCACGATAATGCTCCTTGTCACACAGCAATGTACGTATAAATTAACGAGTTTTTGTCCAGCAAAAAGATACAGGTGACTCCTCCTCATCCTTATTCCTTGTGACTTTTTTCTCTTCCGAAGTTGGAAAATTACCTCAAGGAGCTTATTTTGGGACAGTCGAAAACATTCAAATGGCTGTAACCGACCAGCTGGAGGTTATTCTAGTATCAGAGCTGAAGCTGCTATGAGGGGTGGAAGAACGAGCAGTATGGCTTCAGAAGGAAATTATTTTGAGCGTGATAGTATAAAGTTGAAATTATATTTGAATGAAAAAAGTCAGTCTCATGGAAGCTTTCGTCATGTAGCCACCAAGAAATTATTTCTAGATGCTTAACTCACTTGTGAATAGCTTTCCAGTCATCCTAAGATATCCGTCATAATTGATGACTTTTCACATTTAGTCCACAATTTCAACAGGGAAGATTACCTAGTCTTAGGCTCATGAACTCTGCAGGCATTTGTAATACCAGTCTATGCTTGAACTGGAGAGAAGAAGTCTAGTTCCAGTTCCTCCGGGGACATAATAATTTCGATCAGCGTATACGAAGTTTGAAGTTAACCCGGTTGACGTTTTCTGGAGAAGTCCGAGGGATGTCTCTTAAGTTTTGCATATAGAAACATAGTAGGGCGCGCGGATCGAACGTCAGTACCGAATCTTAACCTCACTCTTTAGTAAACTTAAATTCAAAGTTTCACAACAATACGTGCAGTGTTTTCACTACAGTGAATTTTTAAGTGTCACCAAGTCATTAGAAAAATGGAACTCAACCGAGAACATTTTCGCGCTATAATTTATTACAACTTTCAGAGAGAATTATCGCATCAAGAATGCCTTGCTGAGTTACTGTCTGTTTTCGGCAACGAAGCACCACATCAGTCGACAATTTCCCGTTGGTATGGAGAATTCAAACGTGCACGGGTGAGTCTTAGCGACGATCCCAGGGTGGGTGCACCAAAAACGGCAGTCACCCAGGAAAACGCCGATGCTGTGCGCAAACTCATCATTGAAGATAGACGTGTGAAATATCGCGAGATTGAGGCGTCCTTGAAGATCTCAAAGGCCTCAATTCAAAAAATTTTACATGAAGAATAAGGAGTACGAAAATTAGTTTCTCATTGGATACCCCACCTGTTGACTGAAGAGCAGAAAACAGCCAGGGTTAATTGGTGTCAAAAAACGCTCGACCGTTTCAATTCCGGAAACTCAAAAAATGTGTACAGCATTGTTAGTGGTGATGAATCGTGGATTTAATGTTATGAACCAGAAAATAAATGACAGTCGGCTGTTTGGGTATTCCAAGGTAAAGAAAAGCCAACAAAAGTTATCCGTTCTCGAAGTGTTTCGAATAAGATGGTCGCAACATTTGTGTCAGAAGCGGGTCATATTGCAACAATTCCACTTAATGAGCAAAGAACTGTTCCTGCGGGTTGGCACACCACCATTTGTTAGCCAAAAGTCGTCACCGAGCTTCGAAAAATCAACCCCGAAAGAAGAATCATCCTCCACCAAGACAATGCAAGCTCGCACACAGCCCAAAAAACAAGGCAGTATTTAACGGAGAAAACGTGAAATTATTGGACCATCCTCCATATAGTCCCGATCTAAGTTCTAACGATTTCTTTACTTTCCCGAAAATTAAAAACAGACTGCGTGGTCAAAGGTTCCAGTCACCAGAAGAAGCAGTTGACGCATTCAAAGATGCCGTTTTGGATCTGCCAGC